CGAAATTACAGCAAACATTGCATCGCTTTAGCCGAACGTAGCATTTTGTAAGGTTATTTGAAAGAGTCAAATATTTATTACAGTAATCGAATTGCTTAGCGCTCATTCTTGAGCTAAAATTTAGACCGCGTCGTTGAGCCGGCGCGTCACAGATCGTAAACTCCCTATTATCTGACATAAATCCCTACTTTTCGGTGTTTATCCTATACAAAACACGAAAGCGCAGCTCGAGTGTTTCATATCTGATAAAGCAAAGTTCAAAGTATGAAGTGTTGGTTTGGAAGAAATTGACGCTCGTGCGTCCTTTTTCAGACGCTGTTAATTATATGGAGTTATTGAGATCAAAGGTCTATAATCAGGGTGCTAAATTTATAGATATGGCCGGAATGACGTACTTGATCACGAATCATGTCTTCGCTTTTTCTCGTGCGTGCCCTATATAAATCCGCCATGTTGAATTTGACTAGGAGTGAGAATTATAAAGTTTTCATCGTCGAACGTTTTGTCTTACTTGATATTGCTCCCTATTTAATTAATATTATCTATAATTTGAAAGTTAATCAATCAAAACCGTGTATTTTAGAGTTATCAAGTATGTTCTGCGCATGTGCTATATGAGGACCCTTTGGTGTAAACAATACCCAAATTTTGCGTTGTTTCGACATCTTTTAAATTCAAACTCTAATCTATGTCCATTTAAAAGCATGGTGACCCATTTAAAAGCATGGTGACCCATTTAAAAGCATGGTGACCCATTTAAAAGCATGGTGACCCATTTAAAAGCATGGTGACCCATTTAAAAGCATGCATGGTGACCCATTTAAAAGCATGGTGACCCATTTAAAGGCATGGTGACCCATTTAAAAGCATGGTGACCCATAATGCGCTCAAAATGTAAACAAACCGCGCATCTACCGAACGGACTTGACCCCATCAAATAGTAGTTAAGAATTTTATACAACCGACCGCACAAGATTCACTGATGATATAAGAATCGAACAACGTACCACTACATAGCAAGATACTATAATTGGTCAAAAACATTCACACGCATGTTATTCAAATTGTTTACATTAATTAATATAATTGTTTAATTAAAAAGTTATCGCTTTGCTATTCAAGTTGTACTTGCATCTTCAAACCTTTGCTGTTTCTTCTTGTAATGTCTATGCGATCGTGAACGTAGATGTGCCGCCCAGTTTTGATCTCCGATAATTATTCTACCATTACATACAGTGCACGTGTGATTCGAATGTTTGGCTACAGAACTGGTTAAAATGCGCTCTAAAGGCGCGTGGGTAACTTTTTCTCCTCTTGTAAATGATTTCACGATGTTTACAGCTTTTTCAAACACATTGGATTCCCACTGCCCAAGGTCTGTGGCATCCACGCTGTAGACATCTGGGGAGGAAGTAGAGGGCCGACCAAGGAATCTGTTGTTCACCCACCGAACTTGCTTCCTTGCATAACGACGGGTGGCACATTTCATAGCTTCGACACATTTTTGAAACAAATCCGGATTTTCGTCCACTTTGGAATTCTCAAGATTCAGAAATTCTCTGAATTCTTTGAATCCGATCGACTGAAAGATTCCTTCACTGTTTTCTATTTTGGAATTGCCGCATCCACTTTTCCAAGAATTGTGGAATTCTATCAGCTCATCGACTAAACCCTGCTCGATCATCTCATCAACTCTGGCGTCAAGTCTCTCATCAAGGGTTTCAAACTCACATTGGAGCCATAACACACAAACATTATTAAACCTCATTGGTCCGCTGTACTCACTGGAACCCTCCTGTGACTGCTGTTTTGCTACGTGCTCACTGTGAGTGATGCCAGACCGCTCATAAACTTGCAAACTTCTCTTAATTTTTCTTGTATCATTCGGGTGAAGCTTTTTTGCCATTGCAGAATCAACTTTTGCAAGCTGTTGATGCAATGAATTTTGCATTTCGGTACCTTCATAACTTTCAGTGTCCATAACTTGCTGTACTGGGGACGTCTTTGCAGAACAGTCTAGACTTTCAGTGTGTATGGCTTCTCCTTTAACAGACGTTTTCAAACTGCCTGATTCAGCACTTTTGGCTTTTTGTTTGGCACAGTTTCTTTCACACTGAACAAGCGTGTTCTCAGAGACAGAGTCTTTATCGCGTGCACTGTCATCATCGTTGCGTTCTTCATTTTCAACGTTCCGTTTTCTCGAATTGTTCCCATCTTCCTCATCACTTTGGAAGTTCTCGTATTCAGCAGTGGCGCTTTCTGTGTTTGCGTCGCGCGTTCCGTCATCTTCATTCCGTTTTTCGTTTTCAGCTTTCCGTGATTGTGAGTTTACGTTTTCGTCTTCCTCGACAAACATGTTCTGCGTGTTTGATTCGCGTGCAGGGTCAGCTTCCTTACGTTCTTCGTTTTCAACTTTTCGAAATTTCGACCGAATTTCGCCAGCTCCCGCTCTCCCCGCCTCGTCAATCAAATTTTTCCACAATAAAGATTCGATATAATAGTTCGTCCCCCCGACAATAATTGGTACTTTTTGCCGGGTAATGATATCCGAAATCACATCTAATGCAATAGTTTTGAATTCAACCACCGAGAACTTCTCGTTGGTTTCGACAAAGTCTAGTAAATGATGTGGAATAATCGCTTGCTCCTCGAGAGTAACTTTGTTCGTGATAATATCTAAGCCTTTGTAAACTTGCATGGAGTCCGCGCTTATTATTTCTCCCCCAATTCTCTACCGATTTCTATTGAGAGTTTTGACTTTCCTGTTCCCGTGCAACCGAGAATAACGATAATAAGTGGTTCCGTTTCACTCCTGTTGGTCGCCATTTTGTTTTCCAAAATTGATGACTGAAATGGAAGTTCGGGAAGCAAGTGGAAACATACCAAGAATGGAAAATGGCGGCAAAAGAAAGCGTGTTGGCTTGAGTTTAAAATCGTTTAAAAAACCCGCTTTAAATTATGTTAAAAAGCAACCAGTTGGAAAATGTTTTGCCAAAGTGCCAACAAGCGAAGGCAAATCAAATTCTCGCCTTGAAAAGGTACATTTGACAAGTCAGGAGCAAATTGAGACACCAATTTCTGAGAATAGGTGAGTATAAAGCATAGGTATAAAGTCAGTGCTTAATCATATATTAAACACTGGCATTAAAGTATAAATCTGGTACTCGGGTTTTTTGTTATACCCCTTGTACATAATGGTCGGTCGAAAATTGTAATAATGGCCATTCAGGCGGCTGCTAGAGTACCCACCGGCTGCCTGAAACACCATGGGGGTGGGGGGTCAGAAACTAATGCACTAGTCATTTGAACACCCCCCCCCCTGACCCTGGGACTAAGGGGATTTTAACAGGATTTAGCACAGGAAATGCAGGATTTTAACAAACATCAATTTTCTAGTAGCCAGGGTTTTAACACTAGCAAGAAGAAGCGGCCGGGCACATGTGCCAGGTTTTACCAACCGCGTTTTAATTAACCACCATTTTAACATGCACACCTGGAGTCTGGGAACTAATTGATATATCACATGTATTTATGGTCCAACATGGACGTTCAAGATGACTTTCAGACGATCTTTTCTTATTGAATATTCCTTTATTTTCTAATTTCTATTGACTACTGCATAATATGTAACAAATAATGAATAAGCTATGTTAAATATGCAGCCCAAAAGCCCATCATTCATACTTCATCGACTAAATCAATTATGACCAATTTGATGACCAAATTTAGCCTTTCTCACGATGACAAATATCTGCCATTTTTGGGTGGCATCCAATTCTCATTAACCAATGCAGACAATTAAAACAATGTGAAAAGCAATTTTTCAAAATAAACTAACCATTTAAAAAGTAAACTTACCATAATTTG